ACACCGACCATCAGAAAAGGCCACCATGAAAAACTATGTGCTTCGTAGAAACAGGTTACCGGCTAAAATGTAATGCAAAGTATGTAACTTTTGTGATTTGTTTGCTGCTGATTTCATTTAGTTTAAATAGCTTAGCAGTTGGGAGTTTTTTCGAATGCAGCAAAGCTCAACTAAATGAACTTGTACATACCATGCATTAAAAGTCTACATGATCAGAGCCCAAAGCAAAGCAAAACCTACTCCGAGTCAGTTTGGCTCCACCTTTCAGCATGGAGTAGTTCTCTTTTCCGTGGATGGGATCTCGGTAGTCTCTTACAGGTTATCACCAGGACCCACTTATACAGTGCCTCACCTGAGGCCATCAACTTTAGTCCAGCCAAAGGATTCGAACCCGTGACCCTTTGATCACGAGTAATGAGCACCACTAGACTCAAACCCTCCCCTTACCTAGTCACACGAAACAAGGACAAAGTTTTTCAGGCTTAGCTGAATTTCATATCAGGTGTTTGACGGGAACTGGGACCCCAACAGCATCAACACGTTGCACCTCTTTCCGCCGATCATCGCCAAGCAGCTGAGGGTGGTGCCTGTGGTGGAGATTGTCTCCTCCGTCTGCATGAGGATCGAGCTGTACGGCTGCCTGTGGGAAGGTAATCTCTCAGCCCATTCCCATGAAAGTTGCATTTGTGGGCAAAGGGAATTGGGGGGGGGGGGAAGCTGCCCTCATCTTTGCCTCGTCAGCCCTTGAAATGTTCCCCTGGACTTTGTGGCCCTCTGATAAAGTACCCCGGTCTGGTTCCTGGACTAAAAGATTGGGACTACTCTGAGAGATCTTTAGGTCTGGTAATAACTACCGGTATGGTCACATGACTTTAACAGGAGTTCCCATTCAGTTTATTTACAGTGCATATGTAAATTGGTGGTTTTTTTGCTTTTTGCATCTTTATCTCCACTTGTCAACAACTGAAATTATGCTTTCTGTTTACAAACTAAGAGATGCAGGCATCGTGTTGCTGAGAACAAGAGGTATCCAAAACATGACAGCATATTCTGGTTTTTTTTTTGATAAGGCAGGAAACTGGCCTAAGAGAACTTTTCTTCTCTGTGCGTGGACAGAAGAGGGCACCATTTAATGACACTAAATGAGAAAAACTGTGTGTAGCTATGAAGCACAACTTGATTGTATGGGTTTTTCTTTCAATTCTTGCGTGCCAGACCATCTGGTGTACTACAACATGGTGGAGCCCGACCTGAGGGGAGAGTACGCCTTCGATGACGACACCTACGACGGCTTTGCCAGCGGGGACGGTCGGCTGATCAACGGCCTTGGCCAGCTGACCGACGGCAACCTGGGCAGCTCCAACTACCGGCTCAGCCCCGCCAACTTTCCGGCGGGCTACGAGTGGGTGGGGTGGCGCAACTCCACCCACCTCAACCCCGTGCTGGTCTTCAAGTTTGACTCGCTGCGCAACTTCACCAGCCTGGCCTTCCGCACCAACAACTTCTTCAGCAAGGACGTGGAGGTCTTCAAGGCGGTGGAGGTCTACTTTGCCCAGGAGGAGGGCCAGTACTCCACCCGCGCCATCCACTGGAACATCCCGCAGGACAGCCAGCACGAGGACGCCCGCTGGGTGACGGTCAACCTCCAGAACCGTCTGGCTCGGTTCATCAAGTGCAGGCTGAGGCATCGCAACAAGTGGATTCTCATTAGTGAGGTGTCGTTTGCGTCAAGTAAGCATCTTGTCAATTTTATCTTCCTTCTTCCTCTCCCCCCTCCCATTTCGGTTCCTGGCCAGGGCAAGCCAAAAGGATCTTCCCGATAAAAAAAAATCCACCCCGCCAATCGCAGAATCGTCAGTGAAGCAAAACATGGGCAGATTGGGGTCATTGAAGTCAAGCTTCTGATGTCAGTCTAGATTGCTCAATTGGTAGATAACCTGCACAGCATTTTGAACGGCTCGGGTTCCACTCCCTCTCACTGTCTTTGGTACAGATCCACGTTGAACATGATCAAGTTCCATACCATAGTTTCAAGTTCCAGCTCATAGTCAACCAGTGTTGGAGCAGGGTCTGTTGTGTCAATTCGTAAAGGCGCTCTTAGCTAAAAGGGGGTAAGGGGAAAAAAACCAACTGATCAAAGAGCATTGGGCAAATCCAGGAAAGGTTTTCACCAGCTGGTGGATTCAGAACCAGCTCAGAATGAATTCCAACAAGCTTCTGTGTACTCCTTGCCACTCAGAATTCCTCTGTCTTGAACATGCCCAGATATCAGACGGTCAGTAATGTGAACCATTGGAATTTGTATGACGACCTCTCTCACGTGGCTGTTTTGTCTACTTTGTACATTTTTTTCTTTCCGAAGGCGTGCCAAGATATGAACATGTACTTGAAAAAAGCAAGTTCAATTCTTAATCCTTCAATATTGTAGTGTTGCCCCCACTGCAATCAAAGCTTTTCTTTTAATTTGTTATTAGTAGGAACAAAGCATACGGTCTGAACAGTTTTACCCCTTTGGTTCAATTAATTTTTTTTTTGGTACGTGTAGTTGGATAATTCCAGAAATGACATTTTCGTGTCCCTGTTACATCTGACTTTTATCATTCGACATGAAAATATCACAGGAATTGTTTTCAAACTACTGCTATTTGTTTGGCAGGAAATTTGCATTAATTTATCACTCTTGGAAATTAGAAAATAGGTTTTGAACTTACAAAATCATACATCAGATGTAACAGGGGCGCAAAAAAAAATGGACCCCTAATTTCTGGAATTACCCAGTTCAAGAGTTTTTGCAAGAAACAGGCCTGGCATTTTGTTGTATGTGCAAGGCATAGTTAAAGCATGTATTGGTTCCTGCATAGCGTCAGTGACTGAACTGGATGTTATATTGCATTCAAATTAGTCCCTTGAGGGCACTTCTCTAGTGCCGTTTTTACCAGTAGTTATCATGCATGATGGAATGAATATTTGTACTACCCCATGATGTACGCATGCACCAGTTCATCAGGGTGTTTTTTGTCATTGGTTTTTTGGATGGGGTTACTTCAGTTCATGAGATGTAGGCTTGTTGGTACAGTATGGAATCAGTCTCTTTTTGTAGAAGAGGTGTGTTTCTTCGAAGAACCGGTGAGTGGTAACTCTCACCGGTTCTTCTAAGAACCACCCCACCTCTTCCAAAAGAGATTGATTCCACGGTGTACACATCTGCAAGCCTACATCTCATGTAACTTCCACCATGCAAAGCTTCAAATCTGTCTTACTTCTGTTCAGTAACATCCCCTTTTGGGAGAAATTCCAGGTGATGATAAATTTGATTTGGAGCAACCACCTTGTCTCAGATGCATTGAAGAAAAAAGCCCAGGCAGTCACTTGTAGTCATCCTGCATGAATGTTGCCCTCTGTGGACATGGTATAATAAGTACCTAGACACAGTGCCTCCTTTGTAAAAGTTGTAGAGTTGTGCTTGCATACCCCTTGTCAGTGACCGTGTTTGTTACTGTTGTGCAGATCCCGTAGAAAACTATGTGCGACCTCCCCTGACGCCATTCCCTGCACGGCCGTCCACCACCACCCCAGGTTGGTCTTTGCTCTGTCGCCTATTAGGGTGTCTGCCACCCCTTGTATGTACGTGTTTGAAGCACCATCCATATGTAGAATTGTACTCTTCTCTCTAGATTTTGCTGAGAAAGACATGTCGTACTCTGGAAAATATTGTACTGAGCTCTTGCACAAATTTTTTTGTCTACCGCAAGTGCATGTATTACAATGCTGTTGAATTGTTCTGGGAGCAGAAAATTATTTCATTCAACACGGTTGATTTCTTTATCTGCATCTCAGACAATTCAAGAATGTCACTGAAATTACTTGTCATTGAACAGAGAGCAGTTCCCAGATACATATTTTTCGGGGAGAGTCCGTTCTGCCGTTGAATATTTAAATTTTTCCAAAGTGAAATAATAATTGATAAGTTTGACCTGTTAAAACTGGATCGTTGTTGCAGTGAAGCATGATACCACGACAGCCAGTAAGCCGTCCAGCACCCCAGACATCAGCAGGATACCCATTGGCAATCCCAACGGCACCCTGGATAACAATGACTTAAACGGTAAGCGATCACGTCCCTTCCACTCTGCCTGCCCATGGTTGGAATTCCTGAGCCGGGATTTGTCACATGTTGTTTGACAGCAGAGCCTGCCTTCCTCAAAGTGCACACGCTTTGTAGTATCCTGTGTCTGTTTGTCAGCCAGTGCAAGGCTCACATTCCCCCCAATCCACTTTGTTTCCACCTGTCAATTTAAACCTCAATTCCCTTTCTGTCATTTTGATACTTGATAACAAGAGGATACTATAATTCAATGAAGGTGTCGTAGGGGAGTACGCTGAGTGAAGGTTTTGCCTCTTTTATTCGGAGAACCCACCGTGACATCCGACAGTTGAAGCAGAAATATCATGTAATAGTGCATTCTGAAGTCATTTATGAAACAGTTTGAATTGCCTGCTGTTTTACAAGGGAGGCAGTGAATCTTCTTGGAAAAATATGTTTGGACAGTTTGGAGTGTTTGGAATATTGGTCTAGGTTTACTGATTAAATTTGCTGCCTCTTAGGAACGGAAGGAGTTGAAGCAGTCAGAAAGCTTCCTGGGCAGTCCATCCTTCCAAAAAACTTCCTCCACCTCAGGCCCTGACACCATTAACCCTCCTTTGGTTTTACAGCACAAATGTGCACAAATGCCCACAGTCACTGGTGAGCATGTATTTTCCATATGGAACTCAAACATGCACAGG